GGGGGGCCCCCCCGGCGATGCGTGCCCCAGCCCCCCCCCCCCTTCCCGTTCGCAGCCACCATGACGCACCAATACCCCGCGCTGACGGCCGAGCAGAAGAAGGAGCTGTCGGACATCGCTCTGCGGATCGTGGCCCCGGGCAAGGGCATCCTGGCCGCCGATGAGTCCGTAGGTCGGTGTGTGTGTGTGTGTGTGTGTGGAGCTTCTGTCCCACCACCCCTTATTCCCCGCCCCGGCTCCTGCCCCTCACGCCTGAGGCTGATGAGGGTGCTGGGTGCCCCCCAGGGAGCATGGCGAAGCGCCTCAACCAGATTGGGGTGGAGAACACGGAGGAGAACCGCCGGCTGTACCGCCAGATCCTCTTCAGCGCCGACAGCCGGGTGAAGAAATGCATCGGGGGCGTCATCTTCTTCCACGAGACCATGTACCAGAAGGCTGACGATGGCACCCCCTTCGTCCAGATGATCAAGGATAAGGGCATCGTCGTGGGCATCAAGGTGTGTGTGTGGGGGGGGATGGCTGGTGGGTTTGTGGGGTGCTGAGGGTGCTCGGAGAGTGCTGGTGGGGCTCAGTCCTGCATTTCCCTTCTCTCCAAAGGTGGACAAGGGCGTTGTGCCGCTGGCTGGAACAGATGGCGAGACCACCACGCAGGGTAGGTGGAGTGGGTAGTGGGGTATCATCCCTGGGGTTTGGGGGCCGCGGGGCTGACTCGCTGCCCAACAGGTCTGGACGGGCTGTCGGAGCGCTGTGCCCAGTACAAGAAGGATGGGGCCGACTTTGCCAAGTGGCGCTGTGTGCTGAAGATCAGCGACAACACCCCCTCTGCGCTCGCCATCATGGAGAACGCCAACGTCCTGGCCCGCTATGCCAGCATCTGCCAGCAGGTACGTTCCTGTGGCCAGACGCCACCCCACGGGATGGGCACAGATCCATGGGGATCAGCGTTGTCCCTACGCCTGGGTGGGCATCACCCATGGGGATGGGCATCACCCCACTGGAATGGGCATCACCAGCAAGGATGGATGTTGAACATTGGGGCTGAGCATCACCCCCCAGGTCCACACATTGTCCCCACATTGTCTTGAGGCCAGGGGGATGTCCCCATAATGGTATCTGCCTGGTGTTTGCAGAATGGTATCGTGCCCATCGTGGAGCCAGAGATCCTGCCCGATGGTGACCATGACCTCAAGCGGTGCCAGTACGTGACGGAGAAGGTGAGCAGTGGAACGGGCAGCAGGGTGGGCACCGTGCCGTGCCATGGGCTATACTGGGGGACTCCACGCTGTCTGTCCTCCCCAGGTGCTGGCAGCTGTCTACAAGGCACTGAGCGACCACCACGTCTACCTGGAGGGGACCCTGCTGAAACCCAACATGGTGACCCCTGGGCACTCCTGCCCCACCAAGTACAGCCCTGAGGAGATCGCCATGGCCACTGTCACTGCTCTGCGCCGCACTGTGCCCCCGGCTGTGCCAGGTACTGGCACCAGGACATGGTGGGGACCAGGAGGGGGATGCCCTGTAGCCCCCCTGGTGCCATAACCCTGCTCTCTGCAGGTGTTACCTTCCTCTCCGGGGGTCAGAGTGAGGAGGAGGCTTCCATTAACCTCAACGCCATCAACACGTGCCCACTGATGCGGCCATGGGCTCTCACCTTCTCCTACGGGCGGGCACTGCAGGCATCGGCGCTCAGCGCCTGGCGCGGGCAGCGGGACAATGCCACCGCCGCCACCGAGGAGTTCGTCAAGCGCGCTGAGGTGACGGGAATGGCCGCATCCCACGGGGGACACCGAGGGCTGCGTCCCAGTGGGGTGGTGGGGACACCGAGGGCTGTGCCCCCATGGGAAGGGGTACACTGATGACCGTGCCCCTTGGGACAGGGGATGCTGATGGTCCGGTCCCACAGGGTGACAGGAGACGTCAAGGGCTGTGCCCCACAGGACAAGGGGTTCCAAGGAGTGTGGTCCCCATGGAGGGGACAGTTTTGTCTCCATGGGAGACATTCCCCGCAGGGGAACAGGGGATGCCAAGGGCCAGGTCCCTGTGGGACCCCTAGGGTGACGTGGGGCATGGAGGGCTCTGTCCTTGTGGGAGGAGGGACCAAAAGTCCTGTGGGGTGATGGGGGACACCAGCGAGGTGGTGGATGCCAAGGGCTCTGTCCCTTTGGGAGGGGGGTGCCAAGGGCTGTATTGTTGCAAGGGCATGGGGACACCAAGGACCGTGTCCCCATAGGGGCTGGGGGACCCTGGGGGCCGTACCCCATGAGGGCTGGGGGACCCTGACCTTTCCTTTCCCTGCAGGTGAACGGGCTGGCAGCGCTGGGCAAGTACGAGGGCAGCGGGGACGACTCGGGGGCCGCCGGGCAGTCCCTCTACGTGGCCAACCACGCGTACTGAGCCCCGGCTGGGCGCCCCACCGGCCCCGGCCCCCGCCCCGGCCC